AACAGTCACTAATAGCTGCTCTCTTTTATCATCGATTTCGGTCCTTGTGGGTTCCTCCTGAACTGTACTAGAGACCGCTTGAGGACGGTACCATGGTACTTGTTCGGTCTTGACAGTGGAAGCCTCTCCTCCCTTTGTGGTGTCCTCCTACGCGGGGCTGCCACTCAGTGATGATGACCACCCAAGGCGACGACGCTTGGCAGCAGCAACAACAAGAGGACGCTGCCGCTTTACGGAAACAGTTTCCAGATGATGATCTAGAATGGGATGGTACTCATCCGGGCCTATTTTGAATCTTACCATCCTCGACCTAAGATACGCATCATCTAGGTGAGTCGCATCTAGCCCGGCAAGGGTCACGATACGTGATCTCTCCAGAGAACACCAAGAGGATCACTTGGGACTGCTTTCTTATGTCATTCATCTTATACGAAGTAAGCTCACTCAGTGTTGGAATGTATTCTCTCAGGAGTTCCCAGAATTATGGTATGAAACCAACAAGAATTTCCAAAAATTCCTCAGAAGTTCCTCATTCGTATCAACACACAGAGATAGCTCTAGACACTATCTCAGTCGAACTTCTTCATATGATGACGTTTGTCGAGCAAATATGCATCGAAAGTCGCGGTTACGAGAATTCCGAAAAATGCTGTTGAGGCGAGACCTCAAATGCTGCATTCACTCTTGCTGAATCTCAACTAACTTGAGAAAAACGATTTCATTCTGGCCTTGTCTTGACAGTTATATTTTCTGACGTCTCTGCTGCGACAGTTTACTCTCATGGGGCTATGACTATGTTTTTATATATCTCAGTCAACTATGATTCCCTACCGCCTATGCTTCGACCGAGATGCCACCGGGGTTCTCGAAATTCTCGAGAATTCTCTCGACATTTTTTTCATGCTAGACGTAGTCCTCAATTTCTTCACTGGCGTCTATGTAGGCGGCCAACTGGTGAGCAGCACTATCTTCATACCATCTTTTTTTCAATTCCCATCCCAGGTTATGACCTTGGAAGGAATCGCTCCGCACTACCTGAGGACGTGGTTTTGCGTAGATGTGGTGGCCTCCTTCCCTTACGAGTGGATAT